ACCCTCGATGTCCCTGTGCTTTTAACTGATTTTTACATTTTGGCACAAGTTTAGCAGTAACCATGGTTGTCAGAAAGGGTCTTTATTCCACTGAGGTTTGTTGATTGGGGTCAACAAACGGTGTGGGTTTGGTCATAAATAACTCAACGCAGTTTTGCAAGATGAAGCCAAGTGTGGACAGCATCTGTCTTCAGTACTGGGGTGTAACTAAGGTGTCTTTTGGAGCTGAATATCATCCGTCGCCTTCTCCTATGAAAATTCAATTGCAAGAACACAAAATGAAGATCTTTATGCTCTTTGTAATTAAATTCAAGGCTTACTCCAGGTTCATATATCTCCTCTTCTTGTTTGGTAAGGATGATGTTACTTGGAGTCTGTAGTTTTTCTTTAATTGCTTGATACACGTATCATTACCTTACCGTCATGAACCCTGTTTCTGGAGTAAAAATTATTTGGGGAACTTCATCTGTTACATATTAAAGGTAAGGAAAAACTTTCCAGAAAATACATGTGAAAACTGTTGTGTTCAATTTCTGTCGTAAGAGAATCAAAGCAGTGTCTGTCTTCTCAGTAAGTGTATTCTTTAGTTAATCTTAGTAGATAGTGTTTCTTTATTTTTATTTAAGAGATGATGATGATGATCAGGAATGAAGAGCAAGACTAGTTGACCTTTTGTCTTCACTTGCAGGGAGATCTCTCGTAGTCTCATGTAGACCCCCTTCAGTCATTCAAAAGTTTAGTCTTCATTCTAGATACAGTTGATTCCATCAGACAACTACATTTTTATTATTCCATTACTTACTGTGTTTTTTGTTTGGTTCGGGGTTTTTGTTTTGTTTTGTTTTTTTTAAGAAAAAGTACCCAGTAAAAAAAAGCCACACAACTTTTTCCTTGACAATATCATCTTTCATAAGACTGTTCCCAAGAAGTAGAATAGTATCTGCTAATCTGCATGTACCTGAATCATTCAGTATTGGACCCTGTATTTCTTAAAACTCTCTGACCTTTGCAAGATCAGGGGGGATCTGATCACTGTACAGAAACACCTGAAGGGAAGGTGCAAAGAAGAGGGAGCCTGACTGTTTTCTTTGGCATTCCGTGACAGGACAGGAGGCAATGTGCACAAATTAAAATATGTGAAATTCAGTCTGAACACAAGTAAATGGTTTTTACTGTGAGGGTGGTCAAACACTGGAACATGCTGCCCATAGAGGCTGTGGAGTCTCCATCCTTGGAGATACTCTAGCAGCTATTTGGACATGGTCTTGGGCAACCAGTGCTGCCTGTGCAGCAGGTTGGACCAGATGACCTTCAGAGGTCCCTTCCAACTTTAACCATCTTGTGATTCTGAGGAACATCTGCTCCATAGTATTTTCAGAGTTGGTATAGCAAGAGCAACCGTTTCACGGACTAATTCTGCCAAAAATGTGCAAAGTAATTTATGCTTCTCCTTTGCATTTCAAACTGAAAGCGCAGTCACATACATTACTTTTTTTAAAAGAAGAGGTTTGCCCAACTTTTGCAATAGCATAAATGATTGCTGTTACTCGCCAAGGTTACTCGAATGTATTCCTAATGTACTGAAAACTTGATATGAATCAATGAGGACCAACTTCTAAATGATGTAGCAGTGCTGGCGTGTTGAGGGTTGGGGAGAGGGTCCACTGCAGGACCTCTTCCAGGTATGTCAAGTACTGGTATAATCTTATAGCTTATCACTTTATTCATCCCACACTATTTTCCTGGATTGTGATTTGAATTTTATACATTTTTAAAACTTCCTGTCTGCTTTCCTTTTTTTTTTTCCCCCTCCCTTTTATTTTATTTTTTTTTTTTTTTTTAAATCTGCCTTCAGTACAAACTGAAAGCACGATCTGGCTTTACAGTCCAGAGAGGACAGAGTAAATAAGTAAATGCATTGAGTGGCTGATATAAGCCACTTTTGTACAGTTATTTTGTGTGTCAAAGGCTGCTATATAACTGAAAGGTCAGGCGATCCCTTCTTTCAGCCAGCGTGATCCCTCTTCAGTACCTTCTTTTCTAAGCATTCATGAGACCTTAAGCACTGTTGCTTAAGACGCCTGTGCTTGAGTTTAGGAGTTGCTCCCTCCCATCACCTGGAGTTACAGCTGTATTTTTAGTGAAAGGTATGGATAGACATTGTCCGTGGGTCTTTCTGTGAAACTGACCTTGCCTATCTAATCTGAATTCTCTCTGATGCTATAAGCAATCTTCAAATAAAGATACTTGCACTGTGTAGGCTCTTGTTCTGAGCAGCCTTGGGAATTGAGCCAGTTTGCTGAATTTTGGCTATATAAAACAACTCTTTGCCTCTTCTTAGGAAGGCTATTAAAGGAATTTTTTTTTTGAGGAGGAGGAGAGTAAAGAAGGTAAACATGCTTTTTAAAAAGTACGATTTATACTAGGGAAGCCTGAAAACTTAGCTTTTAGAAATGGTGGGAGAGCAATAGAAGTTATCCATCATTTTTCAGGAAGTTAAGTAATCAAAAAAACTTCCAAGGTTTTGAAAATTGCCTGTGTCCTTAATTGGGATGAAAATAATACTTGCAGGTGTGAAATTCCCTCATCTTTTAAAACTGGAAGGCTTTGAGAGCAGCTCTGTCCTGGCAGAGTTGCAGCTGGGTGGCCAGTGCTCTTTGGGGAGCCCATTGGAAGACCAGCAGGGAAAGGGCACATTTTCCTGTTAACTTTTTTCTTTTGAAGGTTGAGCAAAATGTATGGAATCCTGCAGACACCCTCTTTTCTACCACCTGAGCAAAAACAGTGTTTCAGACACATAGATAAAAAACTTGTGTCAGCTCTGAGGGTAACCCTTGGCTTTTAGAGTAGTTGGGATTGAAATCCTAGTTAGCAGCAGGAAAAAAACATGATCATTCATTTTTTACAACTTGTCAGTTAAATCTGTTATCCAAGAATTACAGAATCACACAGAATTGCCTAAATTGGAAAAGACTTTAAGCTGAAGTCCAATCATTAACCTCACTCTGACAAGTCCCAAACTAAACCATGTCCCTCAGCACTATGTCTACACGACTCTTAAATCCCTCCAGGGATGGGGACTCCACAACTGCCCTGGGCAGCCCATTCCAAGAAGCAACTGTCTGAACAAGTTGTGAGGTTATTTTCTCTGCTGGTGCTGTTTATTTAAAAGATTGCTTTGTGGGTAGGTGTTTCAGTTTGTCATATAGCACGTATTTTAAATAATAAAGAGATACCAAGTTCCTTTCATAATACCTGATGATAGTTTCTCCATTGCACAAATTAATTACACAGTGACAATTGCTCTTTTACCCTTTTCTGACTCTTTAGAGCGTGTTTGTGTAATTGTGTTTGTGCAATTCCCACAATAACAGGATGAATATGTTCACAGGTACCAGAATGTATAACCAAATATGTTTGAGGGTGGTTTTTTTTTTAATCAAGCAGTAAGGTAGAATGCCAACATCAGTGTTTTAGATCATTTGTTTCCTGATGGTGACAGTGCAGTCTCATGAGATGAGGTGATAACATTATGCTAGTCTGTATGGTGAGAGATTTGTCACAGGGCAAGAGCAGCGTAGCTACAGGGTTCTGTAGGAAGATGAGCCTGAGCCCAGTGTAGAGGAGCAACTCCTCTGCCTTCTGCCCTCTCCACCTCTCTCTGCAGAGCAGAAGGACACCCAGCAACTGTGTGCAAGCAGAAAACGAGATTCCTTGAACGTGCTTTGCAGTTTTTATATATAGGTAGCAGACAATGGCTCTCTTAGGCTGAATGCTAACTGAACAGAAAGCACTAATGCCGTATTGTCTGGCTTATTCCCTGAAGGATTTACAGAATCCTTTAAAAGAAAAAAAATCTGTCCACCCCTATGAAGAGATGTGCGATTGTCTGTTATTTCTTATATGTCTACTGATTTGCATGTATAAATAACATTATGCAGATTCTGTGAAGGAGAAATAGAAATCTGTAAAAGTAAACCGGGGGAGGTATATATTTTGTCTGCTTTAAAGTAAGTTTATCTTCCATGTGGAAATATTATGGGGGGGAGGCAGAACCCACATGTTTCTAATGATGGCGGGAACCTCTCTGGCTCCCCTCAGCAGTAACTGTCTCATCTTTTAAGCTGGTCAGAGGGCTGTTGTTCATGACTCTTAAAATGCAGTCTTTGCTTCTGGTCTGATCCTTAATCAGCCATATGCAGTGAGCTGCAATCCCTGGATATGTTCAGCAGTGCTGTTTAGTAACAGTCTAATTAGAGCAAACTCTCTTCCACATTGAGATATCACTAAGTTTGAGAAAGGTGCTTGAATTTTGTGAAAAAATGTAGAAGATAATTAAATTTTTGACACTGGGCTTACAGCATGAACTGAATTGCCAGCAAAAGACTACTGAAGTGGGAGCAAGGGCTGCAAAGATGATTTAAGGGACTGGAGCATCTGGCCTATTGGAGAGGTTGCAAGAGCTGGGAATGTTCAGTCTGGAGCAGAGAAGGCTCAGGGAGGGTCTCATCAGTGTGTATAAATACCTGGTGGGAGGGTATGAAGAAGAAGCAGCAGCCAGGCTCTTCCCAGTGGTGCCCACTGATGGGACAAGAGGCAGTGGCACGAAGTAAAACACATGAAATTTTATTTCAATGCAAGAAGACACTTTTTTTTAACTGTGAGGGTGGTCAAAAGCTGGGGCAGATTGCCCAGAGAGGTTGTGAAGCCTCCTTCTGCAGAGATGCTAAAAACCTAGCTGGACATGGTCTTGGGCAACCTGCTCCAGCTGACCTTGCTTGAGCAGGGGGATTGGATCAGTTTCCCAGGAGAAGGAGGTCCCTTCCAACTTTAATGGTTCTGCAAAAGTTTTGTTCTTAACACTATATTAACTTACTAGTTACACAGATTGACTTCAGTTAAGCTATCTCAGTATGTGTTAGGTTATATTAGACTCTTTATTACCATATGAATATGAAGCATATCAGAACAATTTGCCTTTTTTTCTATCTCCTTTCTAGGTTCTGGGAACGCCTACAAGGGAGCAAATTAGAGAAATGAATCCAAACTATACTGAATTCAAATTCCCTCAGATTAAGGCACATCCATGGACTAAGGTGAGTCTATATGAACTGAATAATGAAGGCTTGTGGGCTGACTGTAAAAATTCAAGGAGTTCAGTTTGTTCAGTAGCTTGGTGGCTTTCAGTCTAAACTGGGTACCTTTAACTAAGCTGGGGACCCAGTAACTTTTGATGTAGGTGAGGAGAAGAAGGTTATTGAAGCAGTGCACTGTAATATCTGTTGGTCTGGGGTTTTTTGAGGTTGCCTACAGGTGGCAGTTTGTTGGTTTTTGGGTTTTTTTAACAATGGTGTGTGTGTTTATAGCAGATTGCAATATATCTAAATCCTGTCACGCTATAAATTGATGTGCACAAAAGTCACCTACAAATAAGCAAGTGTTCCAGTGATATGTGTGACACTTTTGTAGTGCTATTTCATAATGTGACAATGAGGGCCGACACTTTCTTAACTAGTTCTCTCATAGATCTTACATGTGTACTCCTAGGTGTGCTGTTGAGAGGGGATGTTTTTTCTTGGAGTTAGTTCTTAAGACTTCTTGTTATCTAGCTTTCACAAGGAGACACTTTTGCAGTACATGCAGACAATGTTATAACCTCCATGATGAAAGAGGAAGCTGCTAGCATTGAAACAAGTACATCGCCACACAATTAAGCTGTCTTCCACACGTCAAGGAGTGATGAATATTTGACTTGGGACAGGGCAGCAGTCATTTAATTAGCCTCTTGGGTGTGGAATAAGTTAAATGTTGAGTCTTAAGCAACTGAAGTCTGGGTAGTTAATGTTTTATTTTTGCTGTTTGAGAAACCTCTGATACAGTTGCAGTATATTCTTATCATACTGTAACGGCTCCGGTTTCCTTTTGCTAAGAAAGCAGTGTGTATGCACGGAAGGGTTGCATTCCCAACTGAGCACATGTCCAGGTCAGACTCTTTTGGACCAAATGCTCTGTGGTAATAGATAGATACTCCAGATAAACTAATGAGAGTTAATTGATAGCAGGCCATGTACCTGCTAGTACTTGGCCATGCCAGGCCAGGTACTGCGAGTCACTATTTTTGTGATAGATTCTCCAGTGAGTTATGCACCACTTTAATTCTTTTCCCCGCTACTCCCTGATTTGTATTTCCATATCAGAGTTTCTTTATGTGTGTTGGTTAAGTGATTTGTAATAGTACGAGAGGTCAGTAAGTCTAGCAAGACTTTTTAATACCTGATGTTAACAGGGGAAAAAACTAGGGCAAATGAAATCCCTGGGAGGTGGTCTCTTCAGTTTTGAAATGCATCGTGGTAAAAGTCTCAAGAATAAGTAAAAAAGCTTTATAGTACTGAATATTAGGATCACATCTGAATTCTTGCAGTGAAGATGTTTGGATTGGAGGGGTTAAATTAATGTGTAGTGGAGTAGGAGTATAGAGATATACTTATGACACAGAAGTAAGTACATAAGCTAGCTATGCAGCTCATCTTTGGCCTGAATAGGCTTAAGAATAATTTGTATGCACTTGCTAGTCCGTTAGACCACAACAGAGATCTTTCGGCAAATGGAAAAAAACTTCAAGAAAAAAAACCTGAGACTTCCTTGTATTTATGTGAATCATTTTTTGGGTCATTCTAAAGGATCACCAGTGGAACCAAGTCAATAATAAAGAATTGAGAGGAGCTTACCAGAAGATCAAATCTGCATTTTCTATTAGGGCATAATTAGTTTTGGAGAGCTGTGCTTGCAACTCAGCTTCTCATTCTCCAGTCATTCTGCACACAGCTCTTCCTGATATCAGCTAGGTGTAGAATAGCATTTAAACCAGTTTATTACAATTGGGTTACATGATACTTCATTTATGAGATCTGTACTTTATTATACAAATGCTAAATTGACAAAATGGATTATCCAGCATGGTGTTGGTAATTATGCTCGTCCTCTCAACATATTACTTCTAAAAATCCTTTCCTTTCAAAGTTTTGAGCATTTTGAGCTATGGAAGATTTAGTAGTAGTAATATGGAGAATTGATCTTCCTTACCCAGCTGTATTGGTATAACATCTGATGGCCTGGCAGGGGGCATGTGCATCCTCTTGGAGCTTCTGCATCTTAGAATTGAAAAACATTGGAGAAATGTTCTGACTGAAGAGGTGAACGTGCAAATGGTTTGTGTTACAATTATGTATGTAACTAGAGTGCTACAGGTAGTTGCCAGCAGGACTTGAACTTTTAAGTTTCAGACTCAAAATCCCAAACCTTTGTCATCTAAGCTAAAGAATTCCTGAAGATTACAGTAGTTATAAAGTTGTTATTTTTGTGGACTAGTTATGATCAGTAGAGAGAAGCTAAGGGGTTTTTTGTGTGGAAGAACTTCCAGGAAGCTAGTATTCAGCATGTTTGAGAGAGAATTGCTGAGAATATTTTCACTCCTTGCTATAAGCCCTTTGACACAAGGGCATTCTCCTTGTTGCTTTGTGGTGTTTAATTCAACATGGTTATTTTTCAAAGTTGAGGATTAACTCCTGCTTGGAGTTTGTGCAGTCAGGATGCCCAATGAAGGTGCATGTTTAGCTACTGTCTAGATATTTAGTCTCTTCTATGCAGTCTAGCACTGGTTGTATCCAGCCAGTAATCGATACAAAAGTAAGGTCTATGGTTTGCTCTTGTGTTCAGGGAACTTTCTTGATCTGCAAAAGTGCATGTAGATGGCAGTTAAGAATTTTCTTTGGAAGCTGTGGTACCTGTAGGCTGCATCTGAAGTTCTGTGGTGTGGACTTCTGTCAGATGAACCTGGTTTTGGTCTGCTCTCTGGGTATTTCTGGCAGGCATAGATACATTATTTTCCTGCTCAATATTGCTATGGTGGTGTAACCTGCTATGTTTGTTCACCTTGGTGAAGAAGAATGGTGTCTGGTGCTGTAGCAGAATGAAGGAGGTTCTATGTTTTTTAGAGAACCATAGAAACTGTTGGAGACTGAATAAGGATGAGTCCGTGAAGGAATACTGTTTCTCAGATTCTTTCCATTTTGGGCTTAAATTGGAATTTTGAGCAGAAGTTTTCTGGAAATTTGAAGTCTACCATCATAGCTGTATCTTAGACTTTTCAGGAGAAGTGGATTGGTGTCATCCAAATACAGTATTGATAATCAGTATGATGGAGTGGTACGAAGAAAGATGATGTTAAATTAGCAAGGGTCTTTCATCTTAGATTAGGAGAGAATTCAGACTAACACTAAAAATATTTCTCTATGCCTGTAAACTCTATGGGAGTTTACAGGCAAACTGTTCTGAGTTTGGTTTTTCAATCTGTTTATAATTTGAGATTGTAGTACTTTTGTAATTTAAGAGCTAGAATCTCTTGGTATAAAACATACAGAGGCCCCTCTCTCTCTCCAGTACAGTTCTGTGTTGTCCAAGCACATGTGTGTTTTTCTACCAGTTATGTGCATGGTGCAGATGATGATGGGAGTTCAGTGTGTCCCTGGCTAGCAAAAGAAAAGAGAACCTGGACTTCCCAGGAATCTTCAAAACCTTTCTTCCAAAACAGGACTTCTTTGTCTTTCCCCTCTGTCCCCTCCTCTCCCAAGGAGGAATCTGGGATATTTTTATTCTTCGAGGGGGGGGTTCCTCTTCATTAAACACCTCAGGAGTGTTTAATTTAGTAATATAGCTGTTCTTTTCATCCAGACCTCCCTTTGTTTTCACTTAATATAGAACAGTTTGTGTTCACTGAGGTGCATTCTACTGCCTTGGTCTGTGAGTAAGTAGCATTTAGTTATAAGAAGAGCAAGGTTTTGTAGCGGTGGGAGTATCTTCTGACTGGCTGATACAGGTGGAAAAAAATGAGCAGGCTTTTAGACACACAATCACATCTTCAGGTTTATCTTGGGTCAAAAAACCTGTCCGTTTTTTCCAGCTGTATCAGCTCATTGAATGACAGTTACCCCCCTTTCTGGAAGTTTTGCTGCTGCTGTTTTTACTAGGTCAGAACTTTCCTTCTGTCTAGTTGCCACCTCAACTCCTTGAGCCTTCTTACTTCCTGGAAGTGCATTCTGATCTCTGCTGCTAATCTTTATACTTGTGTCTCTTCTTCTGACTGAGCTTCATCTCTACTTTGTAACAGCATGACTGGAAAGCCAAAAAGAAAATCTGAGATTGAGTGCAAGATTGTACATCACAGTGCTCTGCAAGTTCAGTTTTGGTGATTAGCCTTCTCTGAAGCTTTCAGCCCTTTTGGAGGGGGCCGGGGCAGTGGGGTGGCTGACGAAAGGTCTAAACACATGTTTCATAAGCTTGTGTTAGATAGGCGCTGCTTACCATGGCCCCATTACAATTGGCCTTTATCCTGGCATTACTCAGATGCTACCTTCAGATGTCAGATCCTTTGAGTTATGAAAAACAAAGACTGTGGTGTGATTATTTCCAGAAATAAGAAAAATTCCATCTGTAACAGCCCACCTTTCCCTTTACATCCAGCTAGTAAAGGATCTCATTTGAGTAAGATTGTAGTAAATTTAATATAATTATGTAGTTTAGGCCTTCTCTGCGTGGCAGAGACAACTTGTTTGGATTTTTTTTTTTCCCAACTCAAGGATACTTCCACATATTTGCTGGTAACAGCATTACAATGAACTGACTTACCTGCTGAGCTGCAAGCATGCTCGTGGTTCACAACAGATTATATCAACAAAGGCTGGTTTCTTTAGTCAAATCATAACCTCTGCCTTGTCTCCATTGTATAGGTGTGAAAACAGTTTCCACTGCAGGCAGCTCTTTAAAATGGTCAGTGCATCTCTTCAGTGTGCTGTAGTTCAGTGGCCTTTGTTTCTCCTCTTCTGAAGATACTTGCAAGATTGTTCGCACATGCAAGCACTTTTTAAATATGCAGTTGGTGAGATAAGTTTGAGTGTACTCAAAAGAATGGCTTCATTCACCACCCCCAAATCTATAGCTAGCTGCTCTCTGAATCATAACTTCCAAGTCAGTGTTGCGATGGAAAAAGACAGGAGTCATTTGTTTAACAGTGGAAGAGAGTGGGAGAAAAACTGTCGTGTCTAGATTGGTTTTGAGCATCTCTGCCCTTCTGCATTGCACTCTTGTGGATAAATACACGAGAACTCTCTGCAGCACTTTGCCATCACAATAAAATTATTGCAGCAGATAAGGGCAGGGTCCCCCCCAATTTTGTAAATGCTGCTGCTTTTTTTTTTTTTTTTTTTTTCATTATTTATACTGTTCAGAGCACTCTTCTGTCTTTGTCTTCAAGACAAATTATTATAGCAGAGGAAAACAGTGTTTAAGATGAAACTTCAGGCCTCCTGCTCATCCCTTCTGGCACTTTCCCAAAGCAACTGGCCACTCCTGGCTGCAGCTGAAGTTGTGCAGAACCACAGTTGGTTGTATTATAGAGTAGCTTCGGATATTGACTTTAGGATTCATATTTCTGCCTGTATTATTATGAAATAATTTCTGCTAATATGGTAAAATACTTGGCAAATATTTGAGTATCCTCTGTGTGTATGTGTGTATTCTTTGTATACGTTTTACCATACTAATCACTTTACCTTTAATGTTGAATTTTTCTGTGCTTGTAGCAGGCAGTCCTGTCGTCTTCCCCCCCAGTCTGGGACTGGGTTGTAAAGGGTCTGGTCCCTCTCATGAGCATGTTTTT